CCCTCCGAAAAGCGTACGCTGCACAAACCGTCGCCACCCAGAGCCTACCCAAGTAATTACGACTTGACCAGACTTCGGCCTCGCAGAATCACAAGCACGGCTTGCTGCAAACATCCGATCAAGGACTAAGCCCGAAGCCTTCAATCCTAAACCCTTTATATCCCAACCCGTAACCCTAAATCCTGAACCCTCAACCCCAAGTCATAAGAAGATACTATTAACGCGCTCATCTATATTGGGCGGGTGAACAGGGGGCTCTTTAAAAGTCCGTGTTCGTTACTGTTGTGGGTGTTGTGTGGCGAAAAGCTGCAAGAGGATCCTATAGGATCTTACTAGTTATTTCTGGCCTTTATTGCTGTTTATCTTCTGAACTTCCCAGATAGCTCGGGCACGATGTTATGAAGCGGCGCAACGACCACGTGTCAGGGTCTGGGCCTGAAACCGACCACATCCTAATCTGAAACTCATCACGTCCTGATCCGAAACCGCCGAAACTGACAGGCCTTTGTCTCGAAACTTCGCCCCGAAACTCAGCACCGAAACTGACCTCGACAAACCTGAAAGTCACACCTCCCAAAGCGGCCCGCTGCGCCTGCGCACACGTACGTTGTGCCAGCCCAGGCCCAAGGAGTTGCCGGTGATGAGAAGCGTGGAAGCAAGGACCTGCAGCGAGGCCCGGATAGGCCGGGCCGGCAGGGGATCGAAGGTGCCTTGAGGACTTGCCCCACGAAGGCCTGGTGCACCGGCTCCTGCGCCTTTCTCAGAATTCTCCAGAAAAGAACTTAGCAGCTTGTATCTCGCTCTGCTCGCTCTGCTCTATCTCGCTCTCGCACCTCCAGCAGTTTCTGCAGCTTCAAGGAGTTGCCCAAGCCGAAGCTGCAGCTGGTGAGCATGGCATAGACCGGCAGCGGCAGCAGCGGTGAAGCCGTCAGGATGCTCCGATCCAAAAGCGTTGCAACCGAGCCAAGCCAAGTCAAGAGCGAGGCGGCCTGGGCTGCGCGAGGCAGTCGAACCAGCCACTCAGGCTCAGAAGTTCAGTGCAGACTTCTGCGGACGGGCGGCTACCACGCCAATCCCTGGCAGGAGCTTGGGTGCTCCACTCAAGAATGCCCGCAGCAGCAGCGGAAGGTAGGCCACATGCAACAACAACCTGAGCCATTCAGATGGCTTCATGCATCGGAATGCCAGGAAGATGGCTGAATACACTTCATCAGTCGAGAACAGGCGAAGTAAAAGCTGAAGTCCCTGACAAAAAAAACACTCGCGTCGTTAATTCAAGCTTAGCTGCCTCAAGCCTGCCCGAGGCTTAGAGCCGTACCGTCTGGGGCATGCCACAACGGACATTTGATTTGACATGGTCTGCAGACAGCTTGAGTGTGAGAATGACGGAGAGGATGAGGATGAGAGCGTAGATGTAGATAGAAATGATGATATTTCTGCTGCTTGACATGTGCGCCAGGATGCGAGATTCCCTGCAAGCACCATATGTGGTGCGAGCTCACAAATGCCAGCCTTCCTCTAAGGGTCACTGATCGTCACGAAGGTCTCACTTGGGGCACAGAGCATCACAGAGTCTTGTAAACAGACTTACAGCAGCATGGTAGACTACCGCTCATCTCGACAACCACCATCTTCCGATGTGCACGGTTGCATGTGAAGCTGACACCATCAACCCAGCAACACGGCGCATGTTCTTCCAATCACGCTCCGATGTCAGGAGACACAGCAATACGAAACCCCTGCCAAACCCGCTCCCTTGAAGTGGAGGCTCCCTTTGCAATCACCGAGATCAGCCGGGACCCCGGCCCCGATGCCAGGAGCGACAGCGGAGAAGGCCGTCCGAGGAAGGCCCCACCAAATGCGATGTTCCTTTTCAAGGACAGAACACGACCCAAAAAATGAGACACGGCACTTACAGCTTAGAAGGGTGAGGCCTCAGACAATGTTGGCTTTGCCCACAACTTCTGACGCCAAGCATCAGGCACGGGGTGCAGGCCAGGATGTAACCCCAGTCCGTGATCTCCTCGGGGAGCATAGCAGCTAATTGCATCCCGCCGCTGAGGCTCTTTACCGAGCCGCTGCACTCTGCTTGTGCATGCACTGCATGCCGTGGCCGACTGTGAACAGACTTGCCCCGATGAACTTGATGAGGTGCCTTGGAGTTTGCTCATGTCCGGCTGCCTTTGCATTTTGCCGGTGCCGGGATTTCGGACACCCTGCACACAAGTGCGAGCAGGACTCCCCAAGCCATCGGCGAAAGCGGGTGACACACGGCGCCGCGCATGCAGATATAAAGCCCGCAAGAACTTCAGATAGATCAGTGGGGCCTTGCGACAAGGGAAGGCTGCGAACGGATTTTAAACAACCTGAGAAAAAAACCTTTGACACTGCGTCAGTGCTTCACCTTCCTTTGCTGACATGCATGTGACACCAGGGGCTCGACGGAGCTGATCAGCAGCATGGATGGAAAGCTCAGGACTTGCCCACCCATGGCTCCAGGACGTTATGTGACTGCAAAAGGCTGATATGCTCGGAGGTGTCACGTAGAGACAGCCGCGCGCGCGCCGCGCAGCTTTGGCTTGAGCAAGATACTTTGCCGGGAAAGTGTCCCTGACCTGCCTTCGAAAGACGTGCTGCTTGCACTGCAAGCTGTGATCCCACCAGTCGTCAGGCCTTCTTCTCGGTGGCTTTGGGATCCGTATAGCCTTCAAACCTGCGCCACGTTTGGTAAACGTCAGGTCCGTCCTCCCCCGGCGCAACAAACATAAGTAGTCCACAAACACTTACTCGGCGTTGAAGCCGTGCTGGCATACACAGGGTCAATGTCTCGAAAAACCATGGTGCTTATCTGTCAATTCCTCTGGGTCAAGCAGATCGAGTACAAGTCACGTCCCGGGACTTTCATGTCCAAAACCATGCCATCCGAATGAAGGACGCAGATCAGCCGATGGAGGCACCTCCTCGTGGGATGACTGTCGTCGATGGGACAAATCAGCTCGCCTCGGCCGGGAACCGGTTGACTGGTTTTCTGTGTTGTGCTGCAGGATGCTTGCTTTGCAACATCTCGGGACTCCACCTGCCTCGCCCGGTGATGTTTCGATGCCTCAGGAAGGGCACTTCAAGGATTCCGCCAGCGCTGCCGAAGAAATGGAATCCCAGAAGCAGAAGCCATTAGCCCCACGGATGGGAGTCTCGGCATCGACGTCAAACTTAACAATCCTGAGCTTCAGGACCTGACGCACGGCGCATCACGGCACATGCGCCCAGCCGCGCAGCAACAACCCCAAGAGCGCCTTGTCGAAGAAGAAGCCTCCTTTGCCGATGGCTCCTCGCGAGGCCAGGTCGGTCTTCCTGCGGGGGGGTGTTGTCACTCGGCTTTCCAAGGAAAGTACAAAGAGGCTCCTGCAGTAATTCAGCAGGGCGGCGTTACCTTCTGTGGCGCCGTAGAACCTGAGATCTTGAGGCTGTTTCCAGCACCGTCTGCAGCAAACACAACTACTAGTTTTGTAAAAACAACCTGCTAGAATGCTATAGAAGCACAAGGAACTCAGTCACGACTGGAATGTTGAACTTGTCTTGAAACTCGTCCCAGACCTCCGGCCTCCGCTGCTGCCGTCACGCGATGGCGCGGGCGCGCCAATGCGCTGGCACTGCGAGGCCGCTGCCTAAGTCCGTTCCCCACGGCACCTTTGAGCTTGTGTGGGATCTGGGTCACCTCCGGATGCTCCCTGGCATGTCACAGCGAACATCTCAAGATGCATCCTGCTGTCGGGACCCCACATCCCACGGCAATGCCTCGCGTAGTTCACCAGATAGCGTCCAAGCTCTCCTCCGAAGTGAAGCCAATCGGAGCCCATGATGGAAAAACAGCGTCGCGAGTTCATGATTCGCGGTCCGATGTACTGGAAGGCTGTGCAGCCCTGCTCAGAAATTTCTGTCCAAAAGCCTCAGCACCAGAACGTGAAAGGAATAATATCGCTTTGTTGAAATCACCAATCTGCCGAGGTGCGACTGGCGCTAAACTTCCGTGCCAAGACCAGCGTCGCACCTGACCTCGCACTCGGCGCGAGCGGAAGAACCCAGGATCTAACATGATCTAACCGCGTGTCTGTGACATATCGGATCCTGAGAAACGGACACGAGGCACGACATCGTGCCCAACCCGCCACCCGCACTGTGGTAGAGAGGTAAGCACGTGTAGAGCCTGTCTCCTGCACAAATGAGAAAAACGCGAGCTTTGGCTTTTCTTCCCGTCCGGTTCCTTGCCTGGTCCAAGGCCCAGGATGCCACAAATGCCGCTGAGGCTGTACATCTTGGAGTGCATCATCTTCGCCGCCTGAGGCGCGCTCAGTCTATCCTGCTTTTTGAGGCAACAGGCACCCCCTCCTGGCCTTGGGCAGGCCCGTGGTGCCACTTGTATAGATATAACCAAACACGTCGTTGAACTTGATGCCTGCAACGGCAGGCCAAACCGCAGGCCGAGGCAGTCGGGAAAGCTTCACGTGTGCAGGCGACACCGCGCAGACTATGATTGGTCTGGTCGTGAAATGAGTGTTGAACACCCAAACGAAAGAGCAGCGGTCCGGGTTTGTTACCGCACCCCCCCGCCCCACCCAAGAGGAGAAGAGCATAGAAAGCGGACGAGGAGCATTACCAGAATCGGAGCAAGACGAACAGTCCACGTCTCCGCACGGTACAGCACGAACTAGCAAAGCTGCATCATCATCTGTTGACAATGCAATCACTAGATTACTAGGTTACTAGATGTGCTCAGTGTTAAGTCAGGCGACACCCAGCAGACAGAATTCAGATAGACGAAGACGCATAAGAGCAGGAACATGAAGAAGCGCAAGGAACATGCAAGTACAGAAGAAGCCAACAACAAGCATGCAAACAATGATAATCAAAATACGGTGGCTCATTGCTTGGTTGTCGCAACCACGGCCACCACCTCGTCTCAGCTCGGCAAATCCGTCTCCTGCCGATGGCACATGGCAAAAGAATTTCAGCACAGAATTGAAAGCCTCACCTGAGTAGGGAAATCCCAGGAGCTGGTCATAGTCAACTGCCAGGACTGGAGCTTGAAAGCTTCGCCGAGGTTGACCTGACATGGCTATTAGAGCAACTGCTCATGCAGGGAAACGCCAGCTGACCACGGCGTCGCGGGATTGCCAGCCCAAAACAAAATGGAAATAAAATAGAGTGTCAATACAGTTGTGTAATTCATTTCTGTTATACACCCACAGGAGACCACATGCAAGTACTTGTTTCGTGTTGTCATAACAGTAGAAGAGAAAGCTGATAACACTGAATTTTTGTGATACAGCACAGATACAGCACAGCACATGCTCCATAAACCTAGCATCAGGTTGCAGGCACGGATAGCTGTGTTCGGTTCTGCCCACCCAGCTGCACACTGTGTACCTGAAACATGTACTTGGATATCCGAGACCACCAAGCAGTGAAAACCCACACAGATCAGAGAAACGCAAATACAGCAGTGCTTCCTGATTAACCTCTGTCTCGAAACAGTCTATGGCGGCGTGAATTCCCAGTCGTTGATCAACGAAAAGGTTCGCAAAGCGAGTAAATCTACTCTCTAACATGCTCACATTGATGTTGGAATCTTGGCTGTCTATTCTTCGTGTGCGACGCACTACAAACTCCAAACCGGAGACGGGCCGTGTCGCCAGTTTATGTTCGCGCCGGGGAGACTGACTGACAGGTCGCTTCCCGAACGTGCTGGCATCGACAGTTCGTGGAGAGCTTTGTGCCTCCTTCGCTCATTGCCCTCAACGGCTTCACGTCGCTCCACGGTCATGATGAAGCTCAATTCGCTCCACTGAGACAGGAAACATCGACAGGGGATCTAGCAAGGGCGGAGGCATTCGTTATTCTTGGGAAGAGGAAAACCTCTGTGGGCTTAGTACGTTCGTCCATTGCTGCTCAGTCGTTGGTCACGGCTTTGCTTGCCGTGAGGCCTGCCTCTGTCAAGGTGGCAATCCGATCTCCAGAAGCTCAACGACGGCAGCAAATACTCCGTGCACGCAAACAGGGGTGTATGAGCATCTTGCCGAGCTTGACAAAACCGCGTCGGGTCCAATGAGATGTCGTGGGCATAGTACCAACAGTCGTGGACTTAAGGGGGGTGGGAGAAATCACAAGATGCAAGATGCAAACGCCTTTT